GGCGGCGGCGGCGGCGGCGCCGAGGCGGCGCGCGACAAGGGCGGCTGGGCTGGGGGCGACCTGGCGGCCAAGTTGTCCCTGTGCTTCGAGCCCCCGCAGGCCCGCGGCGGCGGCGAGAACCGCGTCGCGCCGCGGCCCCTCACGGAGCAGAGCGCCCTGCAGGACGACGAGTGAGTGACGAGTAACGGCCGTTGCGGGGCCGTTGCGGGGCGGCCCCSGCCGTGTGAGGGCGCTGCCCGCGGGCCTGCGGGTTCTCCTCCCCGTGGGTGAGGAACGGGAGGTGTCCCGGGGCGCGAAACGGGCAGCGAGGGCGGTGTTTCCTGCTCGCAGACGCGGCGGTGCAGCGCCTGCCTGGAGTTGCACAGCTGAGAGGCGGAGGAAGGACTTGGGGGGAGCTGCGCCCCGATATCTGTCTTGTTCGCTGAGTGGCAGAGCCTTTCTGAGCTATGCTGATTTTGTGGGGGTTGTCTTCTAACRTTATTTTATAACTGGAAATCTCGCTGACAGCTTTTTTTCTTTAAGAAAAATGCAGCATGTTTTTTTCCTTTAGCCTTGGTGTATACTGTGTATACCAGATTTTTAAATTATTTTTCCTAGGGTAAAATATATGAAATACCACACTTTGCAAAAGAGTCTGTGTTATAAAGAGTGAGATAAGTACAAAGAACCATGAAATAAGGTGATTGTAGAGCCTCTGCCAGGGCCATTCCCCTGACCTGCAAACCTAGCTAGGCAACTGCTCCAGACAGGCATCAGCTCCGCAGACTTGAGGCAACYGGCTGATAGGGCTCCTCTGTCTCAAAATCTGAAACCATATTTCGGAACAGAGCAGTGTATCAAAGCCCAGTGTTTGCTGTGCGGTGTGAGCATGTTTAGGTTCAGCTGTAAACAAGAGTTAAAGACAGAGCTGCTTGTTATTCTGAGTACCTTAATTTGGGTATTCTGGGGTAGCGCTCKGTCTTCCAAAGTAAATTGAAAAACTTACTTTTGAACTGCTTTTATAGAAGCAGCTAAGCTGTCAAAAACAAAGTTTGGCTTTGAAGTTGATGCTTGGCCTCTTCTAATTCCTGTTTTTTAAGGTACCAAAGGACAACAGAAATACTGGGGAAAGAGTTTATAGCTTGACTCAAATGTTGTCAGAGGAAGAGCTCATGCACTTGCAAATAGGATTCTGAGTATGGTTGTTCAGTTTGYAATGAAGCTGTCTTTTTAGCCTACTCTTTTATTTCACTGCTGTGCGTAAGTTTTAGATTTAAAAATATCTTGCATTTCAAAACAATTTTCTATTAGACTTTAGAATGTTATTAAAATATTGTCAGTAACTTGTAGATGAATATTTAGGGAGGAAAAATAATTGTTGATAGAAATATATAGTCATTAAAAATATGCTAACTGCTGATCAGTTGCTATTCATTTTAAGATCTGCATTTTTGTTCCTTTATTCTTCTCTGCAGGATTTGGAATGCTTTAACTGATAATTATGGTAATGTAATGCCAGTTGACTGGAAATCTTCCCACACCAGGGCTTTGCACTTGCCAACACTGAATCTTTCAGAAAAAGGGGTAAGTTCTGACTACAAAAAATGCCACTTTGGGCCTTTTTTATGCTTAGCAGGGAGATAAAGCAGTTTGTATAAAATAGTTTTGGTCTTAAATGGCTGAAAATACTKTTAGTGCTTGGAATTAGTTTTGAGAGGCCATTGATACTTTTTTTTTCAATCTGAAATAACACAAGATTAATTTAGATGATTGGATAAACCAATGTTCACGAGAGCAGAGCACAATAGACAGAGTTGTGAACTGTAGAAGTGTTTTGCATAAAAGCTTTCTCCTGTCTTTTCATACTGAAGTATGTTAAAGTGGGGGAGAAAGAGGAAGGAATGTTCTTATTTAGTAGGTCCAGTGTGGATGACTTCTGTGTTCTACAGTCAGATAGAAGCTAAAGAGAATTAATTTGCAGGCACGGAGTCCCAGGAGACAGTACAAGTGCAATAGTTCCTTTTTTTTTTTTTTTTTTTCCCCCCGTATTTAACAAGCAAGATAGTTGTCTGGAGAGCAAACAGAGAATGAAAAGTTTCACAGAAGCTTAAAGAAATGGTTATCCTCTGATCTCCTCTAATGTGAATTAAAACACTTAGGAAGGAAAGCTAGGAGGAATTTTGTTACCCAAAGTCCTCTGAGTAAATGGGTTGTTTCTTTCAAACATGCTGAACTTTGTCTGTATTCTAAAAATGTGTCCATATGTGAAACCTGAGAATAAAAGAATGCTCTGACTTTTGCCRTCCATAAGTCATCCACAGCTACTTTTTTTTACTATGACAGAARCAAAGATTGTTCTGCCGAAAAGGATACCTGAAAAAAAAAAATCTGTTCTGTAGGACACAAACTACAGTCTGGAACTCTTTCTTTGTTTGGGTCTGATGATTTTCTCTTAAATTTGACTTTTATATGTTCTGTCTTTTATTAATCGTTTGTTCATGTTTTATAAGTGGATTTAGAGTAATTCAAGCCTTACATTAATACAAAAACTTACAACTCCCTTGTGTCCTTGTCCTGTGGCTGAAAAGATGAACCAGAAAACTGATATCATATCTAGATGCTTATCAAGAAATTTATTGAAAAGGTGTTTGAATTAATAGATTTTTTTTGTAAGCTGTTTACAGACAGCCATCAATGGATGGCATAAAAATGTGGTGTTGYTGGATTAGTAAGAATCTAGGTGTGTTGCCAGCAGAGGAAAATCAATTAATGGATTAAATATATCTCAAGTTTCTTTAGCTTTCACTCCACCTGGTGTGCCTTTTGATGTGCAAAGCCCATCTGTTTGGAAGCATTCAACACAATTTTTTTCTGTTCTGTGCTTCAGCAGTGTTTCTGGGTATGTGGCAGCACATATGGTCCATCTAGTAGCTCATTTTAGCTTTCTCTACAATGAATGCTAACAACTAAGCAGCATTTCCTTGATGCATTTGAA